GACGTCTGTTCAAGCACTTTAACTGAATTTGCTTTAAAAACTATTAGTATACAATGAGGCTAATTTGAAGAGCATAGGTGGTATGTATGCCTACCAATTTAATCATTAATGATGAGAGAATGGGTTGGTGTAATGGTTTCCATTGTGGATTCTTGATCTTGTTCATGTTTGACTACATCAGCTTCCGCTACACCATGTAGATATCTACTACCACCAACATCTACCGGTACATTTTTTATTATTGTTAGTTCGCCATATACAAACTCTTAAATAAATACCTGTATCGTACACGATAAGAAAGTATAATACATACTCCAAGTATTGAAATACACGCCATCGTGTTGGGATTCAATATTTCGACATTAATTATGTCATCATCAGGAATCGTACACGATATGGCAATTGCGCCCTCTAATTTAAATACATGATCACCAAAGCGCGTAATTTGATGTAGATGACGATTTAGAAACCTCAGATGATGTACGCAGTGAACCTTTAATGTTTGGTTGCATATTGAGAGCTCAAGAGCGAGTAGACAATTAATAGTTTTTAATCTCCTTAAATTTAATTATTGTAGAATCAATAGATGATGATTGGTTTAACATGTGAGTTGGCGATAATAGTTAGGCAGTATTTTGTGATAGCCATTCACTCATCAGAAGATAGGGCCTACAGCTGTGTTGCCCAGTGAAGAAACATGGTTTAGCTTATCGTGTAGTTCATTGATGATTTGATGCATGTTAATTTGATGTTTAATATAATAATATTGATTGTGATGAACACTTAATTGTTAACGGCAGTTGATTATTGACAATGTTAAATACCCAGTATACATGCGGAATAGGCAAGTTAAAATATAATTACTAGTTGTGAGTGAGAGAAATTGTTCATTAGTAGGCCACCGCACTGTTATGACGTCACCCGCAAGGGTAGACGTCACGCTTGAGTGATTTAGTATGCCGTTGCTATGCCAACGAGCTGCATAGTTAAAGCCTATACAGTATTGTATTGTTTGTATCTTTACAGATTTCGAACATTATATAGATTAATGATATTACCGGTCATTAAAGTTTGAAATTGAGTTGACAACAACCAAGAGAGGGCGCAATGTCTTATTTTTGTACTTTACATTCGAAATTCTTCTTCAAGACCAACCATTACTATGAATCAGGTGAAGAAGAGACGTGGCGTACAGAAAGGTGCGATGACCAGGGTCAAGGTGATTCAGACGGCCATAGAAGGATCGGGTCCTGTCGAGTATCTAGACGTCCAGCATAAGGACCTGACTGAGATCTGATGAAAAATTCACACTTCCCATGTGGATGTTTTAAAGTCAGGCTCCGGAGGAAAAAATTTTTTTTGATATGTTGTAGAACTGATTTTTCTAAGACAGAAAAAAGTTGTTTGACGAAAAACTGGGGAACGGTGTTGAGATACAGATTTTTTAATATTTAAAAACTGGGGGAATAAGGTGTAAAAATGGTCATTTCCGGCCATCTTGAGGTATATTTCCTTTCTTCAATTCTTAATTTTTTCCTCTATGCCAATGACACTACCGTCTTTTATTCCGAACAAGATATCCAATCATTATTCGATACTGTTAATTCTAGTCTAATTCCCGTGTCACAATCAACTATACAAAATGTAACTTCATTCTGTTTGGGACCCCCCAAAAATTAAAAAATATTGACCTATCAAACCATAATTTTTTTTATTGACAACAATGTCATTCCCTCTGTCCAAACAGCTAAATTTTTAGGAGTCTATTTAGATAGCAATTTAACTTGGAAAAAACACATCAATGAAATTGAACGTAAAGTTTCCAAAAGCCTTGGTATCATTTCTAGATTAGCCTTCTTACCCAACAACATCCTCCGTATTCTTTATTGCTCCCTCATCCTTCCTTATCTGAGCCATTGTAACATTGTCTGGGCCAATACATATTTATCCAATATCAAAAAACTGCAAATTCTCCAAAAGAAGACTATCAAAATCATGGATGGTGCCCCACCACGATCTCATTCTTCCCATTTATTTGCCAAATTGGATCTCCTGAAATATTAATCTTGTCCAGCAAGGTAAATTTATTTTTTCTGCTATGCATTCTATCCTTCCCGAAAATTTATGCAATATGTCTGTTCCCAATTACTCTATTCATAATTACCCCACTCAATCTAGAACTCATGTTCACATACCTACCCTCAAAACTAATTACTGTATTTTCAAAATAATATTAGATACTCAGGCCCTTAAATGATGAACAATCTCCCTCCCCCAATTCTAAACGCTGATTCCTCTAAGAATATTTTCAAAAAAATTGGAAATTTCACCTAATGTCGTTCTATTAAATTAATATTTGCGGTCAGATTTGATATGTTCTGCTCTCGCATGAACTTCAGTTGTTTGTTTGTTTGTTTATTCATTTATTTTTTTTTTCTCCTTTTTTTTGTTTGTTGCTTCTTCTTTTTTTTTTTTGTTTTTTTTGTCTGTACTGACTTTTTTTTTTCTTTTTCAGGCATGCCCATCACAAGATCTTTGTCTTCTCGGGATCATGCCTTCTTCCATAGTTTACGTTTTTTTATAAACCTTATTGTACGTTGCATCGTTTTGTGTTCTATGGAAGTTAATAAATGTCTTGAAAGAAAGAAAGAAAAATGTCTTGAAAGAAATTAGATCTCTGTTGTTGCCGAAAATCATATCCCTGATTAAAGATCATGAGAAATTTGCTGGCGCTTCATCTAGATGATAATGATGGTGTGATAATGATGAATTTTACTGTATAAAAGTGTCAAGGTACTATTTCCTCAAATTGTCTCACTTCGGCCCCAACCATTGTGGCCTGAGGTGGTTGTGGACTCACGGCTTTGAAGTAGATAAAGTAAATACATCAAAAAGAATGTTTTCTGTGATTGCCGAAAAACGCGGATACTTTTGACTATATAATGTTGATGTGATGATGAATTTTACTATATAAAAGTGTCATTTCCGGCCCATCTACAGGTACTATTTCATTAAATTTATGCACGCACACCCTACCGCCAAATCCTGCATCCGCCCAAGCGTAGTGTTGGTATAAGCGTAGTGTTGGTAATAGTTATATTGCCACACCTATATATTTATGATAACATGAATCAGTTTGACGCAAGAAACTGACCATGGAAAAAAATAAGAATCTGAAGTAAACCCTGTATGTGTACTGTTAGACCTACAGTATTCGATTGATAAGCATTGATTGAACATTAGTCAAATAGTTCGACTCGAATACCGCGGATACCTTTTTTACCACCTTTCCCCAGCCTTAAATCATATTCAACCTGTACCCTACCAACCGTTTCCGAATTTCTACCAAACAAACTTTTGCGTCCTAGAAAAATGAGTTCCACAACACACCAAAAATGTTCCTCCGGAGCCTGACTTTAATTTAGGTTATCAACGTTAGTCGTCTTCCTATACTGTACAGTAAAAATAAAACGGTCAACAAAACCAATTTGATTTACGGCGCTTACCACCAAATACTTTTAATCACACGAGATGGTATATTTGCCTGCTTTGAGCAATCGACTTATCATCAGGCGACTGAGAGGGAAAAAATCACCAAGGCACAATACTATGAATAATTTCACCATTTGAAAGGATATCTTTAATTTTACCAATAGGCCTAGTCATAGTTGCGAGAAGAGATTCTATAGTTTCTCGGCTAGATCCAAAAAATCAAGATTCCAGTTGCAAGATTATATATCTAAGAGATGCTTATTATAAATATGCCTATAAAAAACATGAAAGATATAGGCTTATGTACATGTGCATATATCACGTACACCAAGACGTCCAGCACACACCCATGAAGTTTAATGCAAACGACAACTAAAAGACTATACTATACACTCGATTTCCCGACACGACAAGCACTGCACTACCGTTATGAAATAGCGGGAGTTTAGGAGTTTTTATAGTGTTATAAGAGCTTACTGGAAATAATTACATTTTCGGAGTTGGAAATTTAGTTACATTGTCGGCTCGTAATACTGTATCCGCCTGGTAAATCGATCGAGCTCAAATCAGGCAATGTCTTAAATTTAATGTTAATTGATCAAACAAAGATTTAGGTTTTATGAGTTAATATTCTTTTATATACAGCTATATATATATA